TACTAATAATACTAATAATACTAATAATACTAAAAAGTAAAAATAATAATTATTCTAATAATAATGCTCTAAAAATATCAAAATTTTTTTCTTCCCTCATTTATTAAATGCAGAAAAAAACCTCTTTTCTCATTTATTCCTCTAGAATGGAATTATAATGTACATTTTTCATATCCGATTACTTTTTATTATTCTTTTTATTTATTTACTTTTTTTTTCTTTGCTCTTTTAATTTTTTTCCCCCTCATACGTATATACTTTATCATTAATACTGGATTTTTGTTTGGGGGATTTTTCGCCCGCGTTTAAATTCATTTTTTTTTTTTTTTTTGCTTTTGCTCTTAATCCTCATTTTCCACTTCTTTTTCAGTGTGTCTTCCTGCATTTGTGAACCGGAACGTTTCCTTTTTTTTTTGTTGCACTCTTACCACATTTTTATCTCATTTTAGTTTCACTTCCAGTGTTTATATAACTTCTCTTGTGTTTTCTTCTTTTTCTACGATTGCGTTTTACTTAATACTTCTCGTTTTTCTTTTTATTTTCTTGTTCCTTTGTTGCTTATTTCATTTCCTTGTCTTTGTTTATTGTTTATTTCTTCATTTTTAGCTTTAACATTTTTTTTGTTCTTGTCGAATCGCTCTTCTTTTGATTTATGTTTTTATTTATTTCTTCCCTTTTTTCTTTTTGGTTCTTTATTTCTTCACCTTTTTCTTTTTGTTTCTTATCGCCTGGTTTAGGGTTCCTATTATTATTCTTTTTTCTTTCTTCTTTTTCAATTCTTTCTTCTTCTTCTATTATTTACTCTTTTTCTATTTTTTCTGCTTTTTCTATTCTTTCTTCATTTTTATTCTTTCTTATTTTTCTATTTTTTCTTCTTTCTCGATTCTTTTTTTCATTCTTTCTTCTTTTTCTATTCTTTCTTCTTTCTCTATTCTTTCTTTTTTTCTATTCTCTTTTCTTTCTTCTCTCTTTTTTCCTTACAATTTTCTTTTTCTTTACCCTCATTTTTATTTTATGAAAATTTTACAAGTTTGATAAATAATAAAATAGTTTATTAATGCTAATAGTAATAGTAACAATAATACCTTAAGATAATAACAATAATAATAATAATTTTAAATAATAATATATTTTTTAATAATAATATAATTTTACCAATAAATTATTTTTAAAACAAAAAGTATTGCAACTTGAAGAAAAATAATTTTTGTTTCTGTAAAGACGATACTGTCCCTCTGAGGGAATATCAGAATAAACGACATTAATCTGAAAGCAAACTGAAATACAGTTTATTCATTTATGGTGAACTTGGTTCGAATATGGTAGAATGTGTTTCACAAACAGTTCAGAATAACCGCTGAAAATCCCTTTTAAACTCTCTTACCCTTCTGTGCAACTCGATTTGTCGAGGGCGAAGCATGTTTATAGAAAGTTGTAATTTATAATACAAAATACGTTCAACTTTGAAATTTTAACTAAATCCCAAAAGTCTCTCTTTTATTTCCTCGATATTTATTTACTAGCAACAATTTTTACATACTTTTTTAAACAAAATTAGCAATTTTTAATTTTAAAAATAATAGAATTTAAAAGTTTTTAATTTAAATTTTTTTTCATAAAAATGAAATATGAATTCAAAATTAAATAAATTTGAAAAGAGTTGCGTTTATAATTTTCAAAAAAGAAATTAACTTCAAACGGTTTCAGTTTGAAATTTTAGAAAATTTTTCAATTTTGAATGAATTCAATTAGAAATTTTAATGAACTTAGATTTTTGAAAAATTTTAATAATTCAAATTCTTCTGAAATTTGTTAAATTTGTCAATAAATATTTAATTAATTATTAAAAATAATGGATTTATAGAAGAATTTTAGTTATAAACATTTAAAAAATATTGAATTTTGGAGAATTTACAAATAATTGCAGAAATTCAATTTTATTTTCAAATTAATAAAATTCTTCTAACAAAATTCAATTACATTCATTTTAAAAAAAATTCTCGTTTAAATCACAATTATCATTATAAATAACAAAATTCTTCAAAAATTAATTTTTTTCAAAAGTGTAAATAAAATTCTTGTCCTAATTTCAATTATTTTCAAAAATTCTCCTCAATTCAACGATTTTCAACATTTACTATTTTAATAAAAATTCCCAAAAAGAATTCTTCTTTAAAAAAAGAATTCAATAAAATTTTACGCAAACATTTAATTATTTTTAAATAATAAAAATTTCACAGGAATTCAATTATTTACCAACTTTTTATAAATTTCTTCGCAATATTAAATTATTTTTATAAATAATAAAACTCGTAGAATTTTCTAATAAAAATTGATTTGAAAATTATTTTTTTTTTTTTTGAAATTTTAGATAATAATTTAATATTAAAAGCATTGAAGCATGAATTTTTATAGAAAAAATAGAATTTTGAAAAAGTTTCGAATTAAAATCTTGGGAAATCTAAATTCTTCATACTTTTTAACTAACTGTAGAATTATTTTTTTTTAAAAAGTTCTCGTCAAAATTTCAATTATAATCTTTTCAAATAATAAAATTCTTCTAAGAAATTCAATTGTTTTCAAAAATTTTAATAAAATTCTTGTCAAAATTTCAATTATCTTTAGAAATAATTAAATTCTTCTCCGAAATTAAATTATTTTCAAAAAATTTAATAAAATTCTTGGCAAAATTTCAATTATTTTCAAAAATTTTCCTTAATTCAATGATTCAATAGGTATCTACTATTCTAATAAAATTTTCCAAAAGAATTCAATTATTTAAAAAACAATTTCATAAAATTCTACACAAACCTTTAATCATTTTCAAAAAATAATAAAAATTTCACAGAAATTTCATTATTTACAAATTTTTTTTATAAATTTCTTCGCAATCATTCAATTATTTTTATAAATAATAAAATATTCACAGGGATTGAATTATTTTGGTAAATAATAAAATTCTTATTAGGAAATGAGAATTCAATTATTTTCATAAAAAATAAAACTTATTGCAGAATTTCAATTATTTTTAATACAATTTTAATCGAATTCCTCGAAAAAAAGTAATTATTCTTAAAAATTTTATTAAAATTCTTCAAGAAAATTCAATTATTTAAAAATTTATTAATAAAATTCTGTATGAGAATTTAATTTTAAGAAACATGCAATTATTCAATAAATTTTTTTTTTTGTATTTAAATAATTGAATTCTCGTAGAATTTTCTAATAAAAATTAATTTAAAAATTAATTTCAGTTAAAAGTTGAGATAATAATTGCAATATTAAAAGCACTATAGGATGAATTTTTAGAAATAATTGAATTTTCAAAAAGTTTCAAATTAAAATCTTTGAAAATCTGAATTTTTCATGCACTTAACTAACAATTCTGTAGAATTCATCGTTTTGAAAAAATTTAATTGAATTCTTTTGAAATTATTTGATAATTCTATTTTCTAATATATATTTAATTGAAGAAATTCGCAATAATCAAAATTTCAAGTAAAATTGAATTGAAATGAAATGGATTTGAAAATTCTCATGAACAACTTTTTAAAAAATTATTAAAAATGTTTGATTTAGAGAAGAATTTTAGTTCAAAATTCCTGTGGAAAAATAATAATAATTATTTATTTAAAAAATAATTTTTGAAATTCTTAATTCCTGTGGAAAAATAATAATAATAATAATTATGTAAAAGAGACGTTATTGCTGTTTTCGAATAATTTTTCAATTAAAGAAATTCGTAATTAGAATATTTTTTTGAGTAAAATTTTTCCTTTATCTTCTAAAAATTAAAAAATTTTCAATTTCATTTTCAATTAAAATTGTCAATTGACAAATAGAATTTATAAACATTTTTTTTCCTTTATTTTCAAAAAAAAAAAACTTTAAATTTTATTAAAGCAATTGTAATTAAGAAATAGAAATGATGCAAATTTTCCTACTTTTATTATTATTATTTTTATTATTTATATTATTTTTATCACTTTTATTATTTTTATCATTTTCATTATTTTTATCATTATAAATCTCAAAAGTCTTTCATTTCATCCCTTAATATACGAATGAATAAATAAATAAATAAATTATCTCCCTTCTTTTTTTCTCAACAAAAAAAAAAATTCGAATTTATAAATTAAAATAAATAATCATGATTTAATTTTTGTGAAGTATTTTTTCCATATAAATTTTATTGTTTTTTTCTCACACACACACAGAAAATAGAAGTGTAAAATTGTAAACAATAGAATTATGAAAATAGAATGTTATGCAGCAATATATTTGGAGCGTATTATGGGCAGATTACTTGTTCATTTTGCTTCAGGTGAATTGAGAGTACACCTTGAAAAGGCAACGTGACGTCATTGCACGCCTCTATTCACACTTGTTATCATATTATCATCGGTCAAGCGTAATTTTACCCCTATATTCTCAACCTCGACGCAGTTGAATGTTGAATCTATTCAAATCTATTCATACAATTCGTAACTATATAACGCGTGTATTACGTACCAAAGAGCTAGCGTAACGAACGAAATGAAAATTTTCCCGCTCTCAATGTTTAAACAAAAAATAATAACCATTTCTCCGTGTATATTTCATTTTCGGTACACATTTCATAACAATTAAAAAAAATTTTTTTTTCGTTTAGTAAATAAAAAACTTTTTTTAATATTTTTCTTTTTTGCTTCCTTTTTTGCTTTTTAAATAAAAAATTTTTTTTATTTTTTTTTTTTACTTTTTTTACTGTTTATTAAATCAAAAATTCTTTTTTTAAAATATTTTTTCTCTTGTTTTTTCGTTTGGTAAATCAAAATTGTTTTTTTATCAATTTAAATCTATTAATTTTTCAAATTTTTGAATTTCTTTTCAGTTATAATTTTTTTTTCAATAAAGTTAGAGGCGATAAGGCAGTAAAAATAGTGAAAGGACTGTAAAAAATGAAAATTAAAATAAATTGAAATTAAATGTAAAGAGTATAAAAAAAAATGAAAATTCACCGGCTAGAAGATCGATTCTGGTTCTACTTTTGGCACTGTCTTCAAAGCCCTGAAGATCATCCTCATAATCGTCGTAATCGTCCCTACGATCTCGATGTTCTTTCGAGAGATCGTCATTATTTTCTTGAGAATTGAGAAATTTTTGTGGCGCTGTTCGCAAGCGTTGTTGATGATTTGTACTGAAGAGAACGGCCGGCGGTGGGGGTGTGGAAAATTGTGAACCCTGAAGACGTCGTTGCAGATAACGCGCCAATAGGGCCTGAACTGCATCGGTCTCCGCGCCTAAAAGACAGAAAAGAGAGACGCATTTCATCATTAGCCAAATTGACAATATTTTCTCCTCCGCAAGGGAAAAATGGAGAAAAGCAATTTTTCCCTTGGAAAAAAAATTTGGAAAAAAGGAAGAAATTTTAAAAAAGAAAACAAAAAAGTAAAAAAAAAAAAAATTTCCACCGAGAGAAAAAATAATTCACGCTTTTCTAATTTTTATACACAAGATCATCAATTTTTTCTAGTTTCGAAAATTACTGTACAGTCAGAATTTTTTTTTTTTGAAATTTTCTATACAATCAAAATTTTATTTTTTTCCAAAAAATTAATTTTTCAAAAAGAAAATTTCTAAATCGAATTTCGAAAAAAATTTAACTTTCCTGTTTTTATTTTTTTATTTATTTATTTACAATGTCCCCGCGGTCAAAAGACCGCGGTTTTTTTTGGTTTCGAAATAAAAAAAAGGAATTTTTTTCTCTCAGGTGGTTAAAAAAATTTTTATTTTCTAAAGCAAGGAAAACATTGTCATTTAGTTAACGCATGAATCAAATCTTTCTCTCTGTCTTTAACACTTTTTTCACATTTCAATTTTCGAGACGAATTAAATTTTCCCCTTGTAAATACAACAATAAATTTTTAGTTTTTAAAAAAATAGATTTTTTCGATTTTTTTTTTTAATTTTTTCGAATATTTAAATATTGTTTCGTAAAAAGTAATAGAAAATTGTAAAATCAACAAAAAGAAGCAATTTTTTTTTGGTAATAATTTGAATTTTTTAGAGAAAATTTCCCAACTGTGTAGAAAATAATCTTTTTCTGAAAGAATTTTCAAAAAAAGTTATAGAAAAGAAATTCGAAAGATAACAAAAGAGAAACAATATTTTTTCGATAACTTTTCAAATTAAATTTGTTCTTTTGGAGAAAATTTTTTATCACTGCAGAAAATATTGTTTTTTGATAAATAATTATTGGAAATATAGAAAAAATTATTAAGAAATAAAACTCAAAAATCGAAAAAATGAAAAATAATTTTGATAAAATTCCAAATTATTTATGAAAAATAAAAAATTTTCTTCGTATAAAAAATTGCCTCTATTTTGTTTCAAATTTTTTCTAATTTTTTTTTCAAATTATCTATAAAAAAAAAAACTATATTTTCTGCAGCGATAAAAAATTTTCTGTAGTAGAATTTTCTGAAAAACAAGATTTCTCTCCAAGAAAAATTTTCTTTATTACAATTTTCTCAAAAACAAAGTTTTCGAAAAAAATTGATTCTATTTTTTATTATTTTGTCAATTTTCAAATCTTTTTCTCATTTTTATCGAAATTATTTATCAAAAAACAATATTTTTGAAGTGATAAAAAATTTTCCCCAATAGAATTTTCTCTGAAAAACAAAGTTTCCTGACAAAAAAGTTTTCAAAAATTTATTCTTTATTTTGTCAATTTTCGAATTGTTTTCTAATCTTCTTTTTAAATTAATTATAAAATAGAATATTCTCTGCAAACTGATCAGAATTTTTTTTTCAAAAACTGCAAATTATTTTAAGAAAAATTCTTGAATTTAAATTAAAAAATTGACAAAATAGAGATGAACAATTTTTTTTTTGCAAACTTTTCAAAATTAGATTTTTTCTTTTCTATCAAATTGCAGAAAATTGCAGAATTTCTCTTTTTATGAATAATTAATAAAATAAAAAAAATTATTAAGAAAATTATCAAGAAAAAAGCTCAAAAATTGAAAACATAGAAAGCTAATCGTTTTTGAAAAATTTTTCCTTTATAGAAAAGTTTTTTATCGCAACAGCTAATATTTTCTTCCATAAATCATTTATATATTTATTTATTCATTTATTTATTTATTTATTTATTTATTTATTTATTTATTTATTTATTTATTTATTTATTTATTTATTTATTTATTTATTTATTTATTTATTTAGGGGAACATAGTCTAGGTCGGCCACCTTTTTGACTTTTGTTTATAACTTTTTTTTAAAAATGAATTTGGACAATTGAAGTATATGGTTGGAAAGTCCTGTTTAATAGGAACATTTTTTCTGTACAAAGTAAATTGACAGGTTTAAAAATGAAAAAGTTATAAAGATTTAAAAAAAAAAAAATTTGTAGTCCAGGTTGGCCATTACAGTCAAGGTCGGCCATGTTTAAAATTCAAAGGGCATTAATCGTTAAAAAATAAAATAACATGTTTGGAGTTACGGAAAATTGATTCTTTATTGTTTACAGTTTGTAACTTAATGAAATAACAAAATAATAACAATAAACAATATAAAAAAATAAATATAAATAAAAAAAAGTTTTGAACTAAAATATTAATAAAATTAAATAAAAATATTAATAAGATGATCAATTATATTATGAGTTATACAGAATTGCAGTTTTTGCAAATGAAGTAGCTCGTCCTCAACTTTGCGCATTTTAAACACATAGTGGCCGACCTTGACAGTAAGTAACATTACCGAATTGTTGTAACCATAAAGAAATACGTTTCGGGATTCGATTTTTTACTTTGTTTTCCTTTCAACCATGAGTCCCACAAATTTTCTGCATACTTGCCTTGACGATTCAATTTGTTTTTTATCTTTTATTAATGGTTTTTCACATTATGCACAAAACTTTTTTTGAGCTTTTTTTGTACCGACGTCACAGAAAACACAATTTTCGATTTTCCGAAAATGTAATTGAACAAAAGTTAGGTTTCACTAAGACAAGCTTCGACAAAATGCGCGTAGGTGGCGCTAGTGAACTTGAAAAAAAAACGCGAGTGGCCTACCTAGACAGTAGGCCAACCTTGACTACATTCCCCTATTTATTTATTTATTTATTTATTTATTTATTTATTTATTTATTTATTTATTTATTTATTTATTTATTTATTTATTTATTTATTTATTATTATTTATTTATTATATTTATTTATTTATTTATTTATTTATTTATTTATTTATTTATTTATTTATTTATTTTATTTATTTATTTATTTATTTATTTATTTATTTATTTATTTATTTATTTATTTATTTATTTATTTATTTATTTATTTATTTATTTATTTATTTATTTATTTATTTATTTATTTATTTATTTATTTATTTATTTATTTACTCATTTATTCCTATAACAAAAATTACAGAAAAAAAATTCGAAAATTATCAAAATAGAGAACAATTTTTCTCCTCTAAAAATTTTCCCTTTTCAGAGAAAATTTTTCATCACTGTAGGAAATATTTTTTTTTCCCCCAAAAAACCTCCTATTGTTTTGAATGTACACTTGAACTGACGCTGCACTTGATGAGCATGACCACAATTTGTACTTGACGCTAAAGCTCCTGAGCTTTCAGAAACGTCAACATCACCCTATAGTCATCATTTTGAATATTGCAGAATAAATTGACATTACAAGTGCACCAAATTCTGTTTTTTTTTCCACAAAATTCCCTTCAGTGTCAGATATATGTAAAAAAGAGCATGTAAAAAAATACACAATAAAAGTCGATTCGTTATTTTTCCACAAAGCAAAAAAAAGAAAGAAAAAAAAACAGTTGAATGTTTAAAATAACCTTTTGTAAAAATACAAAAAAAAGTCAATTTCAAATGTGTCACTCAAATGCATTCAAAATTTCAAGTTAAATGTTTACCAATCGAATAAGAAAAACTGGGACAATAGTAAAGAAGCAAAAGCTCCAAGACTTGTATCAGAAGATGAAAAATATTTTTGAAATGTTAAAATTTGAAAATTGGGATATGAAAATATTTTTATATCCCACATTTGGATTGATAGCATCAATTATTCTTTGGAAGGGAATTACAATAATGTCGAAAAAATTATTATCACCACAAATTACTTCACAATCGAGTAATAGAAGTTTAAAGGGTAAAAGAAGTTTAAATAACAAAATCTCGGAATTTGTTAATCGAAAATTAAATAATGACGAACTGGAGGACGAATTTCTCCAACAAACGGAAATGGATATTAACGGTAAAATAATAATTTTTAATCATTTTTCAATTAAATCGGAGAAATAAAAAAATAGCAAAAAAAAAATAATAATAATTAAAAAGTAAAGTATAAATAATTTTCCAAATAAAAAAAAAATAAATAATAATAAATAATAGAAATTAAATAATAATAATAAATAAAAAATTAATAAGATTTCAATTTAATCAATAAAATAAAAATTTAACAAATAAATTATAATAAACAATAATAGCAGTGAATAATAATTGAATACATAATACAGTTAATTATTTTTTATGAAACATATTTTACGTTTAATTATTTTTTTACCTTACTTGTAAATTCTTATGCAATAAATTATTATTAATTATTATTAATAAATAAAAAAAAAATTTCAATGAAACAAAATTTTCCTCGCTCTCTACAATTAAATTGTTATTAATTATTATTACACGTAAAAACCTTTTAAGCAAACAAAGAAGAAAATAAATAAAAAAAAATATTATTACATCACTGAAATATAATTATATCATTAGTGTTACTTAAAAGAAATAAATAACTTCAGTTTCAATTTTCTCTTAAATACCATTTACATAATTATTTTCTCTTCCTTATTTCAAATTTCAACTTCTGACTCTTTTTCTTTTTTCATCTTTTCAATATTATAAAGTATTTACTTTTTATCAGAAAAAAAAAATGTTTCTTTTTTTTTTCCCAGAAAATAATTTTCGATACAATTTCAGAAAATTGAAAAATTAAAAAATGGTTAAAAAATATTTAAGAAGAATGTTAAAAAAAAGTTTTTAAAAATGTTTTTAAAAATGTTTTAAAAAATGTTTAAAACAATTTTTAAATATATTTTTTTGAATGAAACAAAGAATAGACAAGAGAAATAAACAAAAAATTGTCAATAAAAAGAAAGTAAATAAATAAAGGTTTTTGTATAGAAAATATAAATTCGAAAGCTGAAATTAAATTTCAGTTGCATTTTATTTCTATTGGCATAAAGCTCGATAAAAAACAGCAATTAGTCT